AGTCTTAGTCATTACAATCTATCTTATTTTGTGTTTTTAAGTATTTGGAGTCTTGTGGACTTGTTTTGAATTTTTGTTAAGTGAGTTAAGTGTTTTAAAGGTTAGTTTTATTTATTTGAGTCAGTTTAAAGTGTTTAGCACCCCTAGTTAATCCCCGGTTAGAACGATCCCTACTTACATCATTACTACAATTGTCACAAATAGGGTTTAATTTGTGTGTCACATTCGTAACGCATCACTTACCAGATTTACTGGAGATGCAGTAGAAATGCAATCTTGAACTGTTCATCATTGACAATATGCATTACACATTTCTTAACCTAATATCTTATGCTTCATACAATTGTGTTCAATTTTGGTCTTGAACAACTCCTGGATTTATGAAAGCTTTAAAGAATTTAAACATCTCATTCTCATAAAAGCGACCCTACTTCTATAGGTGATCACTAATTAAGAATAATATGATCTATTCATCTTATTTTTAAGATATCAATTGAATATTATGCTCTATTCCTCTTTATTTATTGTATAAGTAATTGTTGTTATTATTATTTTGCTCAGAGCGATATCATTAGTTGGTTAAATAGTTAGTTGTTAGGGGAGAGATATTGGTAATGATTGAACCCATATTTGGATGAGCATGTATGATTATTTTTTGCCACAAAAATCATCTGCCTTTTATAATTAATTATTAACCTTATTAAAATAGGGGCATACTATTACCCTTTTTGATTGATAAAGAGAGTTCTCTTAAATATAGTAAAGTATAGATATAAGTGGCAGATTGTCTGGTGGATTAAATTAGTTGAAATTACTCTTCAAACCACTACGTTATCGAATAAATTGATTGCGAACTTATCATCCAGGAGATTTGAATTTAAGACACTTACTTACAAGTAGGGGTGGTTCGGTATTGGATCCTAAACTGAAAATGGGATCCCGAATCCCAAATTGAAAATTTTCGGGACAAGAATTTGAAGACTAATCCAGAACTAAAATTTTGGGATTCCTAAAATGTTTTTGGTATTTCGTGATGAACCAGAACTGGATTTTGGGCTGAAATTGGAGATTTTTGGGTTGTGGCTAAAATTTGGGCTTTCGGCATGAAATTTTATTGCCCAATTTCATATCAATTGAAATTTAGGCTTTTTACCTCATACCAATTCATTCATACCAAGTCAAATTGACATTCTAAAGTTCCAAACAACTTAATTTCATACTTCTATTTCTAAATATAGTTTACTATCATACTACTTAAAATCAACATTCAACATGCATCCAACCAAAAGAAATATATATATATTTCTTTTGGTTTGGTTCGGAATTCCCAAACAATTGAATATGCAATCCTGATTCCAGTATCTAAGGGTTCAAGATCTGTTTGGTATAGATCTTGAAAATTTTGGTATTATCGGTTTGGGAATTTTCGCTATCAGATATGGATTTTTTTGGTTTGATTTGGGACTTTCGGGAAAAATTTTCAACCCTACTTACAGGTGAACATGAATATCACTAAACTGTAGTATTATGTAACTTCTTTAGTGTAATTTTCATAAAATATTGCTTCCATTAAAAAAGATATATAGTATAAATAAAAATTCTAAATAAATTTGGCTAATTTAGGAATTTTCAAGTATCTGGTTTTGTTGCCACTTAGTACTACGGTTTAGTGGTATTCCTGTTCACTTGTAAGTGAGAGTGAGAGAGGTCTTAGGTTTGATTCTCGCCAAAAGTGAGTTTGAACCATATTATTACTAGCAGGCCAAGCCCACCCCCTCCTCTTAGAGCAACTCCACCATAGGTGGATGCTCGAGGGACAGGCCAGAGAAAAGGGGCCCGAGGCCCTGTGGACTGGCTTCAGCGTGAAGGAGCCCGAGTGGAGGTGGAGGCCCAAGCTCCGGTTCCGTGAAGAATTGCCAGCCTGAGAGGCCGAGTGGATGTGACGCCAAGACTGATGTCAACCTGGTGTCAGGCCTTTTTTTAATTTTTTTTCTGTCAGGCGCGTGCACCCCACTCGCGCATGGGGGTGCGTCGCCGACACAATTTCAGAAAAATCAGTCAGTTTTTCAGTTACTGTTGGGAAGTCACGTGGCTTCCCACGGTTCATTTAATCTCAACGACTCTTTAACTTGGACCGTTCGATCTCAACGGTAAAAAAAATAAAAAAAAGTCTTGTTTAATATCTACCGTTCGATCTGAGATCAACTGTCGATATTAATATGCTTTATAAATAAATAAATAAAAAAGAAAAAATAGTTTTAAAATTAAAAAAAGTTACCGCTATGACACGTGGCACAATCTGGAGTGTTGGAATTCAAATTTTTTTATATTCAACGGCAGAGATTAATTAGTTGAATAAAATTTTAAAAAAAATTGTAAAAAAATTGTAAAAAATTCGAAAAAAAATCTGAAATTAAAAAAAAAAAAAAATTGTTTTTACTCTACCTTACACCACAATTTCATATTTTCTCAACTACTTTCAATCACATTCCTTTCATTCTCTCAAAGTTTCAATCCATTTTTTTTTTCAACAAAATGACTACTGATGTAGTTACGAATTGGTCGCTTCTTGAAGATGTTGCATTGTGTACTAGCTGGGTTGAAGTTACTCATAGTTCGCTTACGGGTAATGAGGTGTAGTTGCGAGAAATGTGGAGTCTTATCCATACTGATTATCTTAAGAAAATTGGTGGGAAAAAAACAAAAGAATCGATGTCCAGTTGTTGGAAATTACTTAGCCAATCGTTTAATGAGCCTTTCATTGTAACGTCCATCATTTTGTAATGGCTCATATTGCACGGGCTCATCGGTGGCGTCATGAGCACAATGTATACGTGTTCTTGAATTGTTCATCGTGTCTGGCTCATATTCATCAACGGCTTCATAATCGTACTCATCTTCCACAATCATGTTGTGAAGAATGATGCACATCATCATGATGGATCGAAGCGACTTTACATCAAACAATCTGGTAGCACCTCTGACGATCGCCCATCGAGCTTGGAGGATACCGAAACAACGCTCCACATCCTTCCTGCACCCCTCTTGACAGCTTACAAAGTGTTTTTCCTTTGCACTTTGCGGACGTGGCACTGTTTTAACAAATGTTGACCACCTTGGATAAATGCCGTCAGCTAGGTAGTATGGCCCGTCGTACATATGTCCGTTGACCTCATACGTGACTTTTGGTGCCTTTCCTTGCAGGACATCATTGAACATTGGGGATTAGGTAAGGACGTTGATGTCATTTTGAGCTCCTGGAACCCCGAAAAAGGCGTGCCAAATCCATGTATCAAAAGATGCCACTGCCTCCAAAATGATACTTTTGCTCATTTTCTGTCCCCATAAGCGCCTTGCCATGCACTTGAACAGTTTTTCCACGTCCAGTGCATACAATCAATGCTTCCAATCATCCTAGGAAAACCATGCATCTTGGCCTTTTTCAGAAGCTGTTCCAAGTCCATGTTTGTAGGTTTTCGGAGGTACTCTGCGGTGTAGATAGATTCGATTGCTCCGCAAAACCTCAGTAGGGACTTAAGAATGGTTGATTTCCCCATCCTCGTTATCTCATCCACTTGGTCTGCAGATGCTCCATATGCAAGCATCCGCAAGACAGCATTAATTTTTTGCTGAGGAAGGAGACCCATAGCACCAAAAACATCATTCTTTTGCACAAAGTAAGAATCATGGTTGCAAACAACAATCATGATTTTGTTGAACAAATGTCGTTCCATTCTAAAACGACGTCTAAAGTACGTATCAGGGAATGCACTATTAGGGACAAAATAATTGTCCAAGAGTTCCATACCTCGTCGTTGCTTGCTTCTATCAAGGTTTTTGGAATGGCTGGGCCTGCAGATCTGAGCCACAACTTTGATGACTCGACAGGAATGTGAGGCTCTGCCCATTCTTACTTCGTCATCTCTCCTTCTACGCTCCTTATCTTCTTCCCTCTCATTTTTTGCCACCTGGAGATTGAACATTCCTTCTGATTGGTTAAACAATTCTTTCTCTTCTTGATCGAGTTCCCATATCATCCTTAAGGAAGAAGAAGACATTGTAAGAAAGAAGCAGAAACTATGAATAATGATACAAATTTTTGTGAAAAAGGAAGCATAAACTATGAATAATGATAGAGATCTTGAGAAAATTGGTGTGAGATTTGTGAGGATGGATAGTGGATTATATGGAGGATTCAGAAAGGATTAAGTTGTAGATAATGCCACGTGGCATGCCGTCATTCGTTAAAAATCTTATGGAAATCTATCCTCAAATATTGTAAACAGATTATGACACGTGGCACGACGTGATTGGTTACTAATCTTATCAGAAATCCATCACCAATAATTGTATTTTCGGATAATGACACATGTCATGCCATCATTCGTTAAAAATCTGATGGAAATCTATCCTCAAAGATTGTAAACAGAATATGACACGTGGCACAATGTGATTGGTTAATAATCTTATCAGAAATCCTCACCAATAATTGTATTTTCGGATAATGACACGTGGCGCAACGAGTACGATTAAAAATCTTATCGGAAATCCATCCCCAATAATTGTCTTTTCGGATTTTAAGACAAGTGGTGTAACGAGAACGATTAAAAATCTTATCCGAAATTACAAATAAAATTATTTTGTATTATTTAATAATACTTTGGATAATGACACGTGACGCAACGAGAACGATTAAAAATCTTATCCGAAATTACAATTAAAATTATTTTGTATTATTTTATAAAAAAAAATTACTAATATTTTATTACCTATTGCCAGGGTTATTGAAGTGTAACGGTGGAAATGCAAAAGACGATTACTGTTCATTAAGAGCAGTTACTGTTTACCAGGTGGATTGAATAGTGAATAGCCTGGGGAGGCTCTAACGCTGAAGTTGCTCTTAGTGTATATAATATTATTTGTTCAAAAAAAAAAAAAAAGAAAAAAAAAAAGTATCTGGTTTTGTTTGAATAATGAAAAATTGAAAAATGTAAAGGAGCGGGAGGCTTTTCATTTTTACTGGCAGGAAGCGGGAAGAAACGGATGGGATTTTTTGTTTTGTTCTAAGCGGACGCCAAATCAAAATGCAATCACCTTAAATATTGACTTTTATTTTCCCTTTTGGTTCTCGGAGTTCGACGCCAATGGCGAGGATTAAGCACACTGCCCACAAGAAATCCGTCGCCAGAAAATCGTCAACTCCCAAAGAAGCTGCTGCTGGTACCCTTCTCTCTGTCTCTCTCTCTTCATGTATGGATTTTGTTGGATCTGTGTGCGCGGGTTGAGGATTTTGATTTTTTCGTTTCCGAAACCCTAATTTTTGTCATTTTCTCCAGGTACTGGCGGAACCTCGGCGGCGTCGACTGCAAAACAAACGGTATTCTCTTTCTCGCACTTCATTTCTTGTTAGTAATTTTCTTGTTGCCCAAACGGAGTTTTGCTTAGTTTTTTTTATTTTCATGAAATCCTCTAATTTTCTCTGATTGGCTGCTAAGAAAAAGGGCGGTAAATAAAATATGTATATAAATTAAAAATACCATTAAAATATTTAAGCCACGCACTTAGTTTAGTGTTATATTATTGGTTTATGTCTAATTTCCCATTGGATCTAACCTTCTTGAGTTAAAATCCTAATAGTTAAGGCCCTTGAAACTTAATCACTTATCCTTGATCCATTGAAGAAAAATTTCGTATCTGTAATTCTGACATTCCTAATTTATTTATTTTCAATAAATTGAAGGATCCATCTGCACCACGGAGGAGATCTGAGAGGAGTTCTCAGAGAAGTAAATATGTTTTTTCATTATTTTTTTCTCATCTGTTTTTTGATTAGTTTGTTGCCAACAATGGTGGTGATAAATGTAATGCTATAGTGGAAAGAAGTTGATTTTGAATGTCAATTGCTGTTGTGTTGTAGCTTCTGAATCGCAAGAGCAGCAGGAACCTGAGACGAATTCTCAAGCAAGTAAATATGTGTTTCTTAATGGTTTATTTATCTATTTTCCCATTTGTTTGACACTGGTGAAGCTGGTGGTGATGATGGTAATGGAAATGAAAGGATTTTGAATGATTGTTGTTACTTCTACAGCGCCGCAATCAAAGAAGCAGAAGGGATCTGAGAGGAATCCTCAAAGTAAGTTTTTGTTTCTTCATTGTTTATCTATATATCTTTCCATTTGTTTGACACTGATGATTGTTGTGGTTATGATGGTAGTGGAAATGAGTTTATTTTGAATGGTTATTGTTATTACATCTGTAGCACCTCAATCAAAGAAGCAGAAGCAATCTGAGAGGAATCCTCCACCAACACAGAAGAAGAAATGGCGTTACAGGCCAGGAACCGTGGCTTTTCGGGAGATCAGATACTACCAGAAGACGTGGAATCTGATTATCCCCGCTGCTCCATTTATCAGAACCGTGAGTTCTTATCTCCCTTGTTGATATATTACACACTTGTACCCACATATGCATGTTTCTGTGCTCATAGATGTTTGATAGGTTTAGTGCTAGGAGTTATGCGCTGCGCCAGCTAGTCGCACTTCTCTGTTCAGAAATCAGAGAACTACTCATGATATTTGTGAACTTGCCAATTTAACAAATTCTTTGATTCTTGTGATGTATATTTGATTTTGCATTTTAAATTGTATAGACAAGTTGGACTTTACATCTTTTCAATCTCAGAGTTAAAGCTTTATTTGTGAACAATGTGATTAGATTTTCTGTTTACTTTTTGTATGAAGATAATATCTACTAGATTTCATGATCTAGTTTTGCTAGTGAAATTTGTTGATTGATCACAAAATTCTGACACCGTCGTCCTTCATTATAGGTGAGAGAGATCAGCATCAATATGTCTAAAGATCCCGTGCGTTGGACACCTGAGGCTTTACAAGCAATTCAAGAGGTGAATAAATGTTTTATTTGTTTTAATGGAAATTTCACCTGGTAGTAGCAGAATTACCATGCAAATGTAAATATCTGCCTTCCAATTTCAGTGAGTTGTAGCATATTCTTGTCGGTTCTAATAAGCAGGCTTGATGAGCGATCCTCCCTAGGTATCATCGACGTCTATGAAAGTACATTTGATGGTTCCTCAGCTGCTTATTCCATTTAGTTCTTCTTATTATCCCAAGCATGCCATGTAACCATAGGCCACTATAGCATTCCTCCAAAGCTTTTGTTGTGCCAGTGCATGAAGAACTTAGCGTAGATTATTAGAAGACGAACTAGCAACGCATATTGGTTTTTACCTTTGCAGGCAGCCGAGGATTTTTTAGTCCACCTGTTTGAGGACTCGATGCTTTGTGCAATCCATGCGAGGCGTGTCACTCTTAGTAAGTAATTCTGGAATTTAATGTTTGCTTAATTAAGTGTTATTCTCCAAATGCTGTGTAAAATTTACAAGTTGACCCGGTTTCACTTGCCTCTTGTGTCCCCAGTGAAGAAGGATTTAGAGCTAGCTCGACGGATTCGAGGGGAAGGGAGGTTCTGCTGAGAGCATGACAGTAGTAACTGGCTCCATACTCTGATCTAACCATTTTAATAAAGGACACCATTCTTTTTTTTTTTTTTTGGCCTGACAGTTGCCATCTTGTGCTGTACATTTACAAGTACGTAGATTTCAAGTTTCAATGATGCCACTTAGCATTGATTTTTTTTGTTGATTGATTCGTCTTTTGTTTGGCATAAATGTGATTTAAGTTGGATGTTGCATCTGGGGAGGTGTTGCTGGGATCCTGTGTGGTCGCGGTTATGCATAAGTGATGTGTTACGCTTACGCATATGTTGGCGGATGTTTCGATATCGAATAGATATTTTACATACTGAAATAAAATATTTTGTATAAAAGTTAGATATTACATATATATATATATATATATATATATATCATTATACTGAAAAATCTATTCATCTAGTGTAATACAAAACTCAAAAACGTGTATTAAATTACAAAAATAATATTGAAAACTGTGAATATTGGACGGTTTTCATGGAGTTTTCTCCTTCATCCTACAATTTCATGGAATTATAGGCTGACATCCTCGATATTGACGGATTTTTGCTTAATTTTGCCGATATGAGTGAGTTTAGTCTTCAACCCCCTTTCTATATCAATCTTTGATCCGATATTTCCGTTAAAATATGGACAATATCGATACAATTTTAAACATTGGGGCTATGTTGGGATCCATATTGGTGTATACAAATAAATATTTGTGAAGGTGATGCTTGTGTTTTAAACTGAGATTAAATTGGCCACCACCGGCACCCCCTATGTTTTGCTGTTATTGTTACTCACACGAGCTTCCCCGCTTATTGGGTTTTGCCATATTTCATTTAGGGGTTTGATTTTGCAGGGTATCATGTCTTGTTGGTTAAGGCGTAAATATAAACGGAAAACATCCCCATTCCACCTCCAGCAATCTGAAGAGTGTCCTTACACAGAATGACGAACCGCTTGCCGGTTGAGCGAACCTTGGTTTCTGCCAGTGATCCATTCCAAGTACCTCTCCACAGTTTCCAGCCCACACAGCTCCTTCACAACTGGCATGGTGGCGGGAACATCCAACTGGAATATCGAAGCTGATCCATCTAAGCCGCCCCACTGGAGAAGCTGTTTTCTCGATTCTTTAATGGCAGCCCTTGTAGCACAGTGAACAGAAACCGCAAGAAGTAATGGTGGCTCACCAGAAGCTGCACAAAAGATTTTCGATGTGTTTCACGACACTTTTCAAATTTGGCGATCAAACACTTCTTTAAATTGAAACGTTTGTAATAAATTGAAAATTAAAAAAAATACGGCAAGCATATATTTTTCGACTTTCAAATTCTGCAACAACATAAAGTTTTCGACTTTTCAATTTTTGTAATAACATAATATCTCTGTTTTTTCAAATCCGCCTACTTTTACTTACACAAAAATCTTTTCTGGTATCAGTTGTATTTGAGATAAGTAGAAGTGTGCAAGGCACGGCATGGTACTAACATGAAAGAGTCTCAGAAATATTTGAATGGCATACCTTTTGAAGAGAGCACGCGTTTTTTGTGATGCCCACTGTTCAATACTTCAACGTTGAACTGTTTGGGTATGGTGTCCACTGTAGGAATTTTATAAGTCCATGTACCTTCTGAAATCACCAACCCATCTGAGTTTTCCGAGTATTCTTCAAGCATGAAAAACCCAATACCTTGAACAAAAGCACCTTCGATCTGCAAGAAACATGCACTGTCAAACTTAATTAAACCACATCGACTGCAAGCAAGTGAACTGGCTTTATGGATCTTAGCAGATTACAGAAAAGTTGAAAACTGTGATTCTTATTCCAAAGACGACTAGATGATGAAAATGCTACAATGCCTTGAATAGACAGATCATAAAGACGCTAGATACCAAAAGTATCCTAACAATGTATAAAATGAACATAACTATCAACTTTCCTTGCAATGGAATATGAAAGATTTCTCCCAGGCAGCACCTACTGGCATTCGCGATACGAAAAATAAAATCTGACATCATGCAATACGACCGGAGTCGCCTCTAGATCTTAATTCACAGAAAATCATTATAAAACTTCGAGTAGCATGTAAGTTTAATCATGCCAACCTGTCCTAAGTCCACAGCCGGGTTGAGACTCTGACCACAATCGTAGATAATATCTGATCGCAGAATTCTGGTTTCTCCAGTCAGGACATTTACCTCCACCTGTGATCAAGTAGTTTCATTGTTACTACTCTAGAAATTTTAACTGATAGTAATTGCTAGTACTCATCCTAATAGTGCGACTGTGACATTGCACTATGACATTGCATCCATAAAAGGTTGTTGAAAATTCAACGGGCACAAAAGAACTAAAATACACAAGAATAAAATGAAGTAAGACTGTTAAACACAAACTTGCCTCACTCACAGCAGCGCCATAGTTAAGGTACTTCATGGAAGCAAAATCAGGGACATAGTAAGAACTTGCTGATAAGTTCACAGCTTCCAAGGATGCCTGCATTTTGACAGAATACACTGCAATGATGTATATATGAATTTGGGAAAAATGCAATAAATTGATTGAATGTTTAAAAAGAAAAAAAGAGTGATGCAGTGCGTGAAGCGCCATGGCAGGGATTTGTAACAAATCAATAAGTTGATTAAAAATGTTTAAAAAGAAAAAAGTCATGCAGCAATAATTTCAAGGCCATTGCTATTCATGCTTCCCTCACTCCTATGGGGGACTGCAAATAACATGTGTTATGGTAGCAGTCCAACAAAGGAGCACGGGTGTGTAAATAAGCCCTCCCTGAATCCAAGTAGAATACCTGCAGAATAAGAGTTTCCCAGTTAACAGAGCCCATTTGCTCCTTCAATCTCCCCTTGAGAGTAGCTAACCTCTCAACCAAAATATTACAGCAAAGTCTAACTGCCTCACAGCTTGCCTCAGATGTAGTGCTCCCGGAAGTAAATCCCCCTTGAATTAAGCTCAATGTATCAGATTGCACCACCCGTACTTTATCCAAAAGGTCTCCACTACCATCACATTGAATTGAACCAAGAGCAAAAGCTGCCATCTGTCTTACCTTCGTCCAGAGCCCCTGACCCAGTTCAATTCCTCCAACTTCAACGACAACAGACCCATCACCAAAAATGCTTACTCTTGCTGGAGTTGGCCTCAGTATCACTTCATGCAATATCGGTACTCGAGAAATTCCTCTTTTCTGCCATTTATTACACCTATTAAATTCTTTTACCATCTCAGTCCTTGGGTTAAAGCTTGAAGACATGGCCAACTTGTCCCATATAAACGGTAATGTATACTCCAGAGGTTCACCAGCGCTGTGCTCATAAAACAAATCAAGGCTGTGAGAGGTGTGAAGATTAATGCTTCTCACAGAATCCACTTCTATAGAAAGGGTGGATGCTACATGTTCAATTACAGCTTCAGCAATAAAAGACCCCTGCACCTCCCCAGGGGCCCGCATAGCAGACCTACTCGGAGTGTTTGTTTTACACACCTTGAAATCGAAAGCCAGAGCACCCCAGTCATACTTCTTAAGTGCAGACAGAATATTGTTTGGCATTACTGGACTTATATCTAGGGAAATCCCTGCATTTATTAATATCTCAAGATCTAGAGCAGTAATCTTCCCATCAGACTTGAATCCCACACTGTAAGTTATCTTCATGGGATGCCTTCCTCCAGCCATTATCATATCAGTCTTCCGATTGAGATACATCCTTACAGGTCTATGTAATTTGTGTGCAGCAAGAGCACATGCAGTTGCCACCTAAAATATCAGAATTGCAGCACCTTTATCTTCTATTCAACATTGGGAATCACGTACAAAAAAAAGTCATAAACATAGACAGGTGATGATAACAAGTGCTTAGTCTACACTTAAACTGGACAACCTTGTCCACGATTAGATAAACAGTAATAAAAATGGAATATAGAGATTCCAATAGGTATTATACTCACAGGCATGGACTTTATGGCCTTTCCACCAAAGCCCCCTCCAACCCTTCTTGTAATTACACGAACATTATTTTCAGGAATACCAAGGCATTTTGCAATTGAAGAGTGTGCAATCTCAGGGCACTGACTTGAAGTGTAAACCACCATGCAGTTGTCTTCATCTGGCACAGCAAGGGCAGTTTGTGTCTCCATGTAGAAATAGTATTGTGAACCAAGTTTGATCTGAAAGCCAAATATGCACGGATTTGTAAGTTAGCGGATGGCCTTTTCATGTATATGAATAAAACCAAGGAACAACGTTGAATATCGAAAACCCACATTACAAGGATCAGAAACAGGGCAGAACATTAGTGTGGGAAGGGGACTGGGAAAAAGAAAGAATGTTATATTGATTTCAAGTACCTCAGCAGAAATAATCTTGTGATCAGCTGCAGCCATTCCATTTGATATGTCACCAACCTGTTTCGGATACAAGAAAGGAGGGACCTCAAAAAAATTAGATCTCTTAACTGCCTCTTCGACTGATAGAATAGGTGGGTCTATATCTTCCATGTCATAATCAACCACCACAAAGTTTGTAGCCAAGTCTGCATGTTTCTGCGTATCGGCTACCTACAGAATTTTTTTTTGATGAGTAAATTGACACACAATCCAAAGAAAGAAGAAAAAGCATTTTTGTAGTTTGGCATTCATTCAAACTAAGATTGTTAAATATAATCACAGGATCGTGGAATTACCACGAAAGCAAGACGCTGACCAGCACATTCGGTAAGATCGTCAGCGAAAAGAGGTTCTGTACCAAATACAGTCTTAGACCCTATGTTCTCCCCAGACTTGGGAATATCTTTAAAAGATATAAGTGCAGCAACTCCTTCTGGATGTCGTTTAGGTTCAAAATTTATTCTCTTCACTCTAGCCAAAGGCTTTGTACTATAAATGAACGCTCCATGTAAGCAATTTTTCGGAGACGGAATGTCGTCTACATAGACTGCCTCACCTACAATTTGATGGTCATGAATGAGATAAGTACTTTTGTTCTCAAGAATTAAAAGCACTCAAGAAAACATATAAAAGAAATGGAAAAGATACATAGTTGGATTAAGAAAAAAACAAAAAGACAAAAGGTCAACCAAAACTCGGTGCCATAAAAGTTTAAACATGATCTGTTCAGAAATTATACAAATACCCACACACGTATATAT